TAAGAGCTGATCTTGTGTAGATTGTAGGTGAGTGCTGTTTTGTTCTGAATTATTTACCCTTGGAGTAAGTTCAGTGCAAGGGAAGAACAGATGGATACTGGCAGACCCGGAAAGGTGATAACATCCAGTCTCATATCCAAAGTTTTACCCTTTATTTATCTAAAATACTTCTGGATTCTTCAGATAAACCAATAATGAGCTTCTAATAAAAGTTTATTGTATTCATTCTCCCAATGTGTGAGATCAAGGAATTGCCTTTATGCTCATTTTAGAGATTTGTTAAGGCTGCCTTACCAACTTGCATGCTATGAAATTCCTGGTGCCACAGTGAATGTAAAAATGTTTGTGTTAGCAACCACTGTGCTTTTAGTTGTGATGGTTTAGCTGTTGGAGGTCTGGACTGTGAATAAGATAGTGGTTAAATTAGGAAACAATAAATATTCTTTTTCAGAAAGATTACTTCTTGTTTATGATGCAGCCAAATGCACAGTCATGCTGGTGTAGCAAGGAGATACTACTGCCCGGTGCTTTACACCATGAAGCTTTGGCCCAAATACTATGCTCAGGAAGTGTATGTCAGAACAAGAAATCAGTCACAAGTCTTCAAACCAGGCTACATACTAAATCATCTTTTAGGTTTGAGCTTCAGCTTGGTAGTTTCAAATTCATTTATTGCAGTTTTGTGCTTCCCTGATGGTTGCCTTCTTATTACACATATAAGAGTGTCCTACCCTTTACCCTTTAAGAAATCTGGAGTAGCTTTGATTCCTTTAATAGGGGACAACAAACATTGCGAACACCCTAAAATGCATTTCATTCCCTGAGTTTCTTCTGGGGCACTGTTGTTATGTATAATCTTCAGGGCTGGATAGTTTTGTGAAGTTAGTCTTTAAATTATTTCCTTCTGTTTTTCCAAGTCCATATCTTAAACTGTTGCCTACATTTGGTCTATTTACCTGTCTCTTATGCTTGTAAATACCTTGGGGGATTTTTATAAGGTATTTGTTTTGATAGAGTGAATTACACATACAGAAATACAATATAAACAGACCTAATGAAATTTCTGTTTGATCCAACACTAATTGTCATTCTTGGCTGTTCTGCGGAAGCCCAATGTTTTCTGCTCTGGTTTTCATCCTAAATCACATTAATGAACAGTAAAGATGCAACTGTTCAGCTCTATCTTAGCTTGAAACATGTTTATTCTTTTTAAAGTAAGTTGAAATTGTTTCCTGGGCACAAAAGAAAAAACATAAGAGTGTTTTGTTTACTAGAGAAATCACATTAAAGTACAGAACTTCTTAATGTATTTTTCAAATTTTTCTTGACAGAAATTACTTGTGCTTAGGCTAAAAAATAAAAAAGGTGGTCTCAAGCCTAAAACATGGTATTAATCAAGGATGTGCTGCTATGACAGAAAACGTGTTTACTGTCAGTTAGTATTTATTGCAGAAAAGCTTGGAGAACTTCACTTCTCTGTAAGTGGTCTCCATCAAGAAAGCTGTTTTGGATAGCTGCTATACCTAATCTTTGTTATATCAAAGGTTGATTATGTACTAGCTGACCTGTTAGAGAGACATAATATACTTCTGTGGAGTAAGTTAGCTACTTCATTGTAAGATCATCCTCATTGTCTCCATCAGTGTTGCGCTGCAGAACAGCTAGAGTTAAAGGTGGTCATCCTATGAGGCTTCCACACCACCATTCTGCAGTGAAATTGCATCTCAGGCCTACTGAGCACTGGTGCTGCTAGCACTGCACAGAGCAGCTTGACAACATCAGTTCGTGTCAAGCATTTAGGGGGAGGCAAAGGTCAGAGTAAGAATGTCAAGAGAGATGTAGATTAAATTCTAGGCAGATGGATTTTTATCTGATATTATTTGATTGGAAGGAATTATAATAGAAGTGAGGGACTTGCTATAAAGTGAGGGAAAGCTGCATGTAAGAAGTAGAGCATATTAGCATTTTGAAGTTGCAATTATGATGCTGTGTTTCAAATTTCAATGTTGTTTTAAAAATTATGTCCCATCAATGAAGCTGAGTTTTAATTTCTTGCATTAAATAATTTCTCCTGTTATCTTCTCTGAGACTAAAACCTTACAGCAGGTGTAAACATTGTCTGTCGAACACAAAAATACTTTGAGAAAACCAAGCAAAATTATAAATTTTATAAAATTCCAAGATACAATTTTAGTTGAAGGAAGGAGTACCATTTATGCTGCTTTGGACATTGTGTTCAAAAGGTTTAAATTATAAAATAAGTAGTACCTATTAGCAAGTAAAAGCAATGTAGACTATTGAATTACCATTTATATTAAACAATTTATTGAACTAAGATTTCATAAAGGTTATTATGTTATAAATATAAATTACAGCATTTATAGCTTTATGACATTAATTGACTTTAATCTTTGATACATTTTAACTGTCATTTAAATTGACAAAATTAAGAGATTATTGGGAAAAACATTCTTAATCTTGAGATTTTAACTACCGTATTCTAAAACACTCATGCTCGAAGTTGTGCAATTTTACTGTTTCAATTACTTTTTCTTTATGGTTTGGTTTGTTGTGAGAATGATTAGATAGTGATGACAACTTTGTGATACCATTAAGTACGATGACTCACCATATTCTCATAACATTTTAATTTAGGCAAATGCCTACTGAATCCAGAATAACATAAATCGATGGATTATTCCTATCTATGTATCGTTAAGTGTGCGTGCTCTAAGTTGTAAATATGAAAATAGATTCTAGACCAATAGATTTTCATCTGGAATCCATCTATGTAATTGGTAAAAAAAACCCAAACCAGTAGAAGTGAACCACCAAAGTAAATTTTTCAGCTGGAAACAAAATAGAAGATTTTTTTTTCTTCAGGTACTGATTCTGCAATTTGATCTTTATTTTGTTTTTCACCTTAGCAAAAACCTACACCTTCAAACCAGGAAATGTGACTGTAACAAATCATTGTGGAGAACAACAGGAAGAAAAACTTTGGAATATTTATTTTTTTGCCCATTTGAATTACAGTGTCACAGCACTATTTTGAAACTTGCTGAGTAGCATGTTTTGCTAAGAGAAAATATTTAAATTATAGACCAGAATCTGTTGCTTTATTATCATAACCTATTAGATGGATCAACATGTTATTATTTTTAATGTGGGCAGTGGAGAGAAGAGGAAAAGAAATATTTTAACTTTTTGAAATCCACATCCATCCATAATGGGAAGCAAAACCTTCACTCACTGTATTGAAAATTATTCTAGATTAGCAAAATGAAATTATGGTAAAGTTAATAGTAGCAGCACACTACGACTATGCTTTGTATTACCTTTGCAAGACTCACAGTTAAAAAGCAGCACAATTCATTCTAGTGACTTCATTTCTTGAAGATGGAAAGAGAAAAACCCTTGAAGCAAAAAATAGGAGGGGCATGGTTACTTCCATTTGCTGCCCTTTCAACCACACATTTAGCTGAAACCAAAAAAGGCATATTTAATAGAATTGAGAGCACTGAAAGGAGAATATAATTATTGGTATGAAATACAGCTATCATAGGCATACATATTTTAGAAAACTGCTGGTTACTATGCAGTGTTGCAAGGTTTATTTTATTAAGCAGCATGTTAGTTCACTTATTGGAGGAACATTTAGTCCTTCATTCTTAATATTATATTGTTGGATTGTTGTAGGAAAATCCATCAAGGCACCTCAGGAGGGCTCTAGTTTAACCTCCTGCTCAGAGTAGGGGCAGTTCTGGGATCAGACAGTTGTTCAGAGGTTTATCCAGTCAGGTATTGAAAGCCTCCAATGATGGATGTTGTTCAGCCTCTCTAGGCAACCTTTTCCAAAACCTGGCTGTACTGACAGTGAATAAATTGTCCCTAAACCTTCTATGGACTATACTTGAGAGCCATGATGTATGTAACACTACACATTTAAGTTTGAGATTCTTGTCCTTTCCATCTCCTAAATCAACAGTATGTTCAAATCTTTCTTCATCCTTCTTCCATGGTCCAGATAAATTGCGCTAGTGTAGTCCTGTGGACATAATGTCTGTAGTGGTGTCTACCTATATAAAAGCCTAAAGAAACTTACGGTAGTGCACCAGCAGCTTCCTGCTTAGGCTTCTCTTCCTGCCTTTTTCTATTCTTTTGAAAATACAAATCAATGCATAATTTTTAAACAGATTGTAGAGTGAGCAAAACCAGAAGTCTGACTTTGCTTGAATTGTCTGTGACTGAGTATCCCTGATCCAGTGAGTTTATCAGTGAGATTTGTGCTGTGGGAAAGTACATAGACTTTTTCAGTACTCGATTTCAACATTTAAGTACTTCCGATATCCTTGGGAATGTTTGGGGTTTTTTTCTTCTTGTTATGGGAGAAATAATTATAGTAATGCCAGATGTTGTTATTACTCTGTTCATTATTATTTAACCAGAAACATAATTCTTAGTACTGTATGAAACACAACTGGTGCTTTTTTTATCCATAGATGGGAGCAGGAATATTTGCTATCTTTGTACTAGGGTATGTTCATATTTTACAGTGAAAGACAAGGAGACAAAGATTGTGGCTAAGTTTCAGAAGAAAGGCAGCATGTGAAATGTGTGTTTCCTCAGTCTTCTAGAGGGTTACAGTAATTGCCTGTAATGGGACCATATTTTCAAATCACTCTTTGTTCTACTTCTAAAATGCTTCCCATCACTCAGTGAACTTCTTCAAAGAACAGGTATAGTGGAATGCTATCTTCAAGGCTAGGAATGTAAGAAGTGGGAAAACTGTCCAGTGGAAGTTTGTTTAGAATTATCGCTGAAGAATAATTAGGTACTTTCTGACTCTTGTCATTTGTCTTATTAGGTAAACTGTACATTGGAAATGAGCTAGCCACTTATAAACTTTCCCAGCTATGTAACTTCATAAAGCACAGCACTTCATCAAAGCAGATCCATTAACCCTCTGACTGGTACTCTTCTCTTGGCTTTGATTGCAGCACCACACAGAAGCACCTAGCCCGTCATTGCTACCCCCATCAACTTTACCATTAGATGTATTAAACAATGCTGTTGCTGGATTTAGTACTGTGGAAGAACTTATCCGGTACCTTGAACCAGACCGGTGGCAACTGGATTTGGAAGATTTGTACAGGCCAACGTGGCAACTTCTCGGAAAGGCATATATTCATGGGAGAAAATCAAGAGGTAAATTACTCTTCTTCCTGGACTTTCAGCTTTCTATGGTGTGTTTTCTTAACAAAAAAACAGTAATAAAAAACATTCGTCACCTTGAATTTTGGTTCCCAGAAAGGAATACGTTAAAAATACAGCAAAGATCATTGTTCTTGGCTATTCTCACCATTATATTTTCTGAAAAAGGACAATTACTAAGCTCAACATTTAAAGGAATTTCACAGGATATAGTAACAAAGGGGGAAAAAATAGAAGCAGATAGGGTAGTTTTCTGTAAGGAACCTGGGAGTTCTTTATTTCCTCAAAGGGGGAACCTTGGCTGGGTGACAACCTAACTTTGTGGTTTTTTGTTGTGTTTTTTGTTTTGTTTTGGTTTGTTTGGTTGGTTGGTTTTTATGGAGGGCAAAAACTTTATTTTTGTTTGGGGTAGGTAATTTATTACACTTACTGTATCATATGAATGACTGGTTTATTTGCTTAGAATTGTTCCAGTCTCTACACCATATGAATTGAGAGCAATTAGCTAAATGTTTCTCTTCCCTGATACCTCACGAAATCCCTGTGTCATGTCCAGTTTGATCATGCAGTTGTCAACTTGATCAGATAAAAAGTAGATTATGTATTTCAAGACTTGTGGAGCTATTTCTTGTTCAACAAGTCATTTTCTTCTATCTACATTTGACATTCAAGAATTTGCTACCACATATCATCCAGATGCTGCCCACTATTTCATGTTTATGGGTTCCATGTGGATGGATAGCATGCAAGCAATAACTCCTTCCTTGCCCACCATACAGCATGAAAATGAAAACAGATGAGCCTAGCTGAATAGACTCCTCTGTTGACAAACGTAAACTAGATTATCATCTGATCAGAGAGATAAAGGAGGAAGTAAAACCTTTCATAACTCAAATTTAAGCTTTTGACAGCTAATTCTTGGATCAGACTCTAAAAATCAACCCTTCTACCTGTAATGCTACAGGTACACACAAAGCAACTAAATCAAAAGTCAAAGAGGAGGAAATCTCTTTAAAAGCTTTCAGCAATGGACCATGCCTTTCAGATAGTCATTTAACACTTTCCTAATTAAAGAGATTCAGTATTTGCCAAATGTATGCCATAAGCATACAGTAAGTGAGAGAAAAACAGAGTGTAATTTGTGAAACCTTACATAAACCAAAATGCAGGTGTTGGATAACATCTATATAGACAGAAACAACTTCCTGTAAGACATCTCTTAGAAAGAAACTATCAGAATAAATCTTTTAAAGACTTCTAATTAGATGCTGAAATAGATTTTTCTACTGAATAAACATATCATGGTATTGCCACATTTATCTTTAAGAGACCACCCTCAGGCTGCCTTACCAAGTGTGTAATGTAATACCCTTAGGCGGAAAATATGTCCAGTTGAGATGACATAGTATTAACTGTTAGGTCTATTCAATAGATAGGGAAAGCAAACCTTTTCTTTTTTTTTTTTTTAATGTTATTTCCTCCTGTAGCATGTTTGTTGCGTTTAAAAACCATTTTAAGAAAAGTTTGGGAGAAGTACATGCCCTAAAATGTTTGGTTGTTTCAAACTCTTTGATTCTATAATTAGATCAGGGGGTTTTTTTTGTAATATTTTGTAAAAGCTAAATTACTGTCTTGCTTTCATAGACAAACATCAGTTTACATCTAGATTAAATGAAAATGTAATTAAAAGTGTATGTTACTTTATGTAGAGAAGAGTATTTTCCTCTACTCCTACTTAATAATTCATATGAAAAAGACTATATTTGGACAACCTAAATTCCACAGAACTTCTGTGTCTGATGTTTTCTCTGGATAAAATGCTTCCAAAAACTTCCAGCCAGGAAAGACGAAACACCAAGTTAGGGGCTTTGATGTCTAAATATAGCCCTAAATTCTCTTATAATATTAAACATACTTAAAAATAAAATATATTTTGCTGTGCAAAAAACCTGATCCTATCACTTCCCACAGAAATCTTTGCATAATCATTATACTGTATTCTGAAGTCTGCATAAGAAAAAGAGTTGCAATCCAGCCATAGTCCTTAGTAGATACTTTTCTTTTCTCATAGTTATGTGATTTTTTTTTTTTTTTTTTTTGCCCCTCATCGTTTGGTGTTTTTTAATAGCCCTGTATTATTGTAGGAGCCAGTAAGAAACTTACACTCCCAGGAACATCTCCAAGGTGCTTAGGAATGAAAACGATCCTGTTGCTATCTGTGCCTCAACCAGAAATAAATTTGTTTCATTGACTTTGAGAGCAGCATCCAGCTAGAAAAACATTTTGGGAAAGAGAGTTTCCCATGGTACTTGATACATGTCCAAGAAGATGCCAGACAGTTGCATTGTCAATTGCAGAATACAGTTACTTTCAGGCTGATTTGAACATGGATTACTTCAGTTGTACGTGCCAGTGAAGGCACACTGTTGAAACAGATTTTACTGTAGACCTGCATCTACATTTTTTCTCCTTTTTTTTTCCTTCTCCCCTTATTTTTATTTTAGCGTTTCCCATTCATATGCTACTGCAGAGCCTTCCATTTCTCCTGAGCTAGTGCTAGACAAAAGAACTTTGACTGTTGTGTCAAACATGATACATGAGTGGAAGCCAAGTTGAAGGAGTGTTTAAATGTTCACATTATAACAGGTACTGTAACTCAGTGCACTTGGGAAATCCACATAACCTTTTATTGTGGTTAAGTAAACACTTTTAAGGGAATATATACATTCTCTCATCTAGCTTCGTGCCCACAGTGTGTTAAAATAAATTCTGGACAGACAGATACTCTTTGAAAAAATAACAGCTTCATTCACACACTTCAAAGAAGTGATTATATAAGCACTAGATAAATTTGCCTCAGACCTTTTAATGAAACTGAATTACATAAGGTAGGGCAAGGGTTCACTGTGAGGTATAATAGCAATATACCTTAGTAGATTGTAAAGCATGGAAACCAAACGTGACATTTTTCATCTTTCCTGAAGCCTGTTGTAAGAGTAAGGCACACTAAAATATATCTGCTAAGAGCTGATTGTGTCTTCTTCTACAGAACCTTTTTAAAATTTGCATCTGCAGATCTTGAGGGGTTCAGTTCAAATTCGTTCCAATTTTGTGACAAAATCTGTAATACGTTTGCTGCTTCTTTAAGTGCATTGCCCCTTTCTCTATGTTATAACTACAGCTGGTACTGGGAGATAAATCCACTCCTTTGCTGCTACCAGTAGGCAGTAGATAATGGGGATCTCTCTCCCACTGGTTGGTGGGCTTTCTGGAAGATCACCTAGTCCAACCATCAACCTAACTGATAAAAACCATCACTAAACCATGTCTCTAAGCACTTCGTCAACCCGTGTTTGAAATACCTTCAGGGATGGTGCCTCAACCACTTCCCTAGGCAGCCCATTCCAATGCCTGATAACCCTTTCTGTGCAAAAAGTTTTCCCAATATCCAATCTGAACCTCCCCTGGTGCAACTTGAGGCCATTTGCTCTTGTCCTATCGCCTGTGACTTGGGAAAAGAGACGTACCCACACATCCCTACAACCTCCTTTCAGGTAGCTGTAGAGAGTGATAAGGTCTCCCCTCAGCCTCCTTTTCTTTAAGCTGAATAACCCCAGCTCCCTCAGCCTCTCCTCCTAAGACCTATTCTCCAGACCAGTCTCTGCAGAAATCTACCAGCAGAACGTATTAGCAGAATTAGCCTTTATCTCATTGTGTTTTAGGCATTTTATCCTAATTCAGACAGTTTACTTATTATATGTTTGAAAACATAAAAGGAGAAAGAAGTACTCCATTCCTATCTACAGTCCTTGATTAATGGAGTTAGACATGTCCACCCTCTAAACGACTCAGCCTAGAGCTATTAGCTGATCAGAAGAGCTTAAATCATTTCTAATTTCTCACAGTGAATCTCTCCCCCGGAAGTTTTGTCTCTCTTTTCCCCTGCTCCCTTCTCAGCTTTTTCCAAGGAATGCTCTTGCAGTGTGGGAGGCAGGCTGGTGTCCAATCAGTAACTTTATTGGAGTTATTGCACACTCCTCGCTTTTAAAAATCAGATTGTTTATTTAGGAGCCTATGTTAACCTGATACTGATGGAATGAAGTGCCCCAGCTTGGTATTCACTGTAAGTGCAAGAAGAGAAAAGGCCTCAGTGTGTTTGACTAACCCTTCACAATAAACCCTTACTTATGGATGCCAGTACATGGATTGGTTCTGCGAAATACAATAAACCCTTACTTATGAATGCCAGTACATGGATTGGTTCTGCGAAATAAATGTTTGAAGAAACATGGAATGAAATTGCTGCCCTGAGATCTACTTCTGGGACAGTACTAGTGAGTATTTCTACTAGAGAAATACAGCTTCTAAATTCTCTTTATTTCTTATGTGTTTAAATAGAATTGAGAGGTATTATCTTGCCTTGATAGGCTTAAGTTCTCCTTTGTGACCTCTAGAGGCTCTTTACATAGTCAGTAGAGTGAAAAAAAAAAGTGTTTCTCTAGAGAGAAATTCTTCTCTGTTCAGATCAAGAACATATTTTAGCTTCATTTTATAGCTTTTCATTTATGAACTGCTAGCAATAACTATAAAGTATTTGTCAAGTAATATCAATGCACTGAGATTTTTTCCCTAGTTTCTTCTTGATTTAGTTCAAAAACATTTTTTTTAAAGCTCTTTGCTGATTTGTTCAAGACTACTCTTTCAGTCATCTCAGTAGCCATATTATCATAGGCTCTTTCTTTCTCCTCTTTTTTTCTTTTTCTCTTTCTCTCTTTCTCTTTCTCTTTCTCTTTTTCTCTTTTTCTCTTTTCCTTTTTCTTCTTTTTCTTTTCTTCTAAAGCTGTATTTTAAGATACACCAAGTTAAAATGAAAGCTAGAGAAGCAACAGAAATTCATATGTATACTGCTTTAAAGGAGGAGGGGAACTAAAAGTTATACAGATTAACATATTTGTTGTCTATACAGTATTCACTGATGACATAACTTCTTGAAGTTCTCAGTCCGTAGAAGTGAGTTCTTCTTATCTATTTATGGCTTGATTCTTTCTTATATGTACATCACCCTTGCAAAAAAAAACAATAATTGAAATTTTAGTAGGGAATAAGTTTGAACGCTGTATGCAAATGAATTAAAATGTGTTTGGAGGTTTGCAGAACTCTTAATTGCCATGTGTGTTTCTCTAATCCAAAATTAATATAGCATAGTAACACTAGAGCTGTGAGTATGAAGGTGAAGAAAAGGAACTCCATTAGGGTTGATTTGATAAAACATTTATTGGAACATAGTAGCCAAAGCTTACTTTGTCTAATTTGAACCAATTCTGCCAGAGTTATGAAATAATTGGGGAATATTCCTATACAACGATCATTTCGGTTTCTTGATTATACTTGTGTGCTGAACCTGTACCACCTGCACAAAACCGAACTTTTCTCAAGGGTTCTGCACTGCTGAAGTTGGTTTAGCACCAATGAAGATGGATTACGAATCAGAAAAGCACCGGTTTGTTTGTCTTTTTGCAGTGGTTGATCTCAACCTCCTAAAGGAGGAGGTGCGGCTGTATAGTTGTACTCCTCGAAACTTCTCAGTGTCATTGAGGGAGGAGCTGAAGCGAACTGACACCATCTTCTGGCCATTGTGTCTTCTGGTTAAACGTTGTGGTGGAAACTGTGCCTGTTGTCATCAGAGCTGCAATGAGTGCCAATGCGTACCAACAAAAGTCACCAAAAAATACCATGAGGTACATGCCTTTTTTACATTTGCATGTTTGGAAATACTGAAAGCCAATTAAGGAATTTATTTTACTATAGGAATGCACCCATATTAATATTTAAAATTTTATGTAATGCATTTATAGTAAATATTTTTTAAACTATTTTAATGAGATGTTACATTAAAAAGTAATATCTTTCTTGTTAAAATATTTTTTTCTGTGGAATTATTAAGTCATCTCTGAGGTATTTGTTTACTGGTGCAGTTCAGATACATCATAACCACACCTCCTTGTTCAGCTTTCTCTAGTAGTAGATGTGAACTTTATGAAGGAACACAAATCTGTCCATTTCCATTGTTATAAGTCTGTAGCTAAAATTATTTAGTATGGAATTATCTAATAATTCTATTGGGTTAACTACACAATTAGCCCTTAAATAAAATTAAGTAGAAATAGTAAACTGCAAGAAACTCTTCTTTGATAAAAGCAAGTATCTATTCATCATGATTTAATCAATTTTATAAAGGACTTGAGGTAAATGCAAAAATAATAATTTGTAGGTGGAATAAATGAAGAAATTCAGCTGAGGAAAGCCTATTGTTTTTTAATGGGCTTCCTGTCAGCCAGTGTGGTTCCCGTACAATCTAGCTCATAGACTAGGTGTGTGATGAAGCACTTGCTGTTTTCTTGATGCTTGGATTCTTCTTCTTCAGGTTCTTCAGCTGAAGCCAAGGATTGGTGTCCGGGGATTGCATAAATCATTGACAGATGTACCCTTGGAACACCATGAGGAGTGTGACTGTGTGTGCAAAGGGAATACTGAAGGATAAACATGATTTAATTGTGCTGTTTTCTTTCAAAGCACATTCAATCAATGGCTGATTCTATTATGGGGCTTGTGCATTATCTCCTCCTGTAATCTCAGTTGTTTGCTTTGGGGATCTTCCATCTTCAAGATTTACAGTGAGCTCTAAAAAGAGGAGAAGCCAAACTGGGATTATACGTTGTGTGACAGCTCTGGAGGCCCAGTGAAAGGATGGGAGAAAGGCATCAATGAGGGATTTAAAATATATGTATTGTTTTTGTCCCCCAGAATTTTCTTGACAATACACGGATTTCCAATTTAGGAGTAAAAATAAAGTTAGAAGGCTCACATCATGGAGACTCGATCCTGCTGGCTGTCTCATTTCTACAGCTCCAGTACATCTGGCCTCTGGTTGAAACACCTGAAATCTATCTTTCTGTGTTCAACTACTCCTATGTACTCTAAATCGAAGCATTCTCTGTTGTATAAACTTGGGTTAAAACAGACTGTCTTGTTCCGATTTAAACTTAATTTGTCTAATGCTGGTAGGAAGGACTGGATTTTTCCATATGCTCTAGTAAAGCTCCTGCCTTTTAGAAAGAAGACTGGACAATAACGTGAGCTAAGGAAGCAAACATTGAAAAGAACAGCGCCTTTATTCTTACTACTATGGCTGATGATTTATTGTTTGTTTGTTTATTATTTTTTATCGTGTACATTTTTATACTCTCCTTTTGACAATATAACTATTTGCTTTTCTAAACTTGTTAAATATATCTATTTTTACCAAAGGTATTTAATATTCTTTTTTTATTACAACCTAGATCAACTATTTTTTAGTTTTGTAAGACTTTAAAGCCAGATTTATACAGTTGGAGGAACAGACGTGGTTACAATGGGAAAGGAGCAAGACCTCTTTGCAGTTTGTTGCTACACAGTGAAAAAATACAGGTTTTTTACCTGGATGCACAGTAATAATAAACAGAGGTGTGTGGATGAAGCTCTAAGCTTGCTAGCTCCATGCCACTGAAAATATGAGAGACAGACATTATGATAAGTGGTTTCAGAAGCTGACTTTAAAAATTCCTTCTCTCCATTCTGGCCTTTGTTCTGGTAGAAAAGAAATAAGCATAGATAGATGCATACTGGCTTGTTTAACTCTTTAATTTCTTTAAAGTAGGATGATCTACAACGTAAGAAAAGAAGTCCAGTGGCCTTCATGATGCATCATGGTCATGGGAAGGCAGCCTTGTTAACGTTGAAGTGTATGGTTTTCCATTGGCGGTTATAGCTGTTTAAATACTGTTCACTCACAGGATCATAACACTTCAGTACAGTTTGATGAACTATGGTTTTGTTCTTCTGTACGTTATATTCTTTAACCAATACACTTATCCCACCCTATGCAAATTGAAAAGGAAACGGTAAAGTATTTTGCTTGTAAAATGCTTTAACATTATGCCTAGTTTATTTTTTTGACTATTGGATTTGCAGATTGTAATGAATCACCAAATAAAGTAATAATGCTAATTTTGGGAGAATAAATGTTTCTGTGTGGTTGTATATTTATATCTGTTCAATATACAATAACACAAAAAATTAAAGAGTGTGATTTTCTACTTACCATTTTGAAAGTCAGTTATGAAAGCAAAAGTCTTCTGTTACCAAGACTTCCACTTGATTTATTAATTCTGCTTTACTGTAAATCCACAAGAAAAAAAGAAGAAAGAAGAAATATGATGGTATTTGTATAAACATTCAAATTGTTCAAAATTGTGTGGATGTGAAGCTATCAAATAGAAATAACATATTCTGTCACTATTTCCATCATGAAATTGAGTTCTGATGAAAATGTGGAGGGTTTTGCAAGTTGGTATGACTTTCTGGTATCAGTTCTGGAAAATTCTCAGATGGCTTCTGATACTGTCTTAGCTGGTCTATTTTGCCCCACCATTAACCTCCTACTGAATAAGAAAAATGTCTGGTGTAAATGTGGCATATAATTATCTAGTCTGAAAATTAACCCTGTATCAGAATGCAGAATTACGGTCACACAAGAAACCTGATTTACTTGAATTTTTAGTCTTTGACTGGAAAAAAGAGTTCTGCAGGGATGATGGAGTGGGTTTTTTGCATTAATGTTGTCCTTTTTTTTTGCGATTTAAAAAACTTTTGAAATACAAGTTGAGATAAAAGCATAGCTATCATAACTCATCAGAATAATTGAAAAATATAATTCTATTACAGAAATTTCTGCTGTAGGGAATGCGAGAGGGCTCATCCTTTCTGTAAACCTGCTAGTGGAAGAAGGCACAACATGAATTTTGGGGTAGGTATTTGGTGGCAGCAGAGGAATGGGGAGTTTCTGGAACCATACAGTGTATGGAAGGTAGACAGTTTTTTCCAAAAGTCACAGGTATTTCTTCTATTCTGCTCTGGCTTTGGCTCACTTTCCTCCTTCCCAATTTCTTGCACCAGTTTCCTTCCCAATGGCTTGCTACAGACTTGCATCTGAACTCCTTATCCTTGTGCTCTTTACACCCCCCTTCACAGTGCCCTCTTCACCCCTCTCACCTGATCCAAAATCACCTTCCCTCCTGTTTGCTCTCCTCTTTCTGAGGCTCGTTAAGCTCTTCTGGAAAAGCTGTTGGCATGGTGGGCCACACCCATACAGCTTCCTGCCCAGGTGCATAGGCTTGGTCTGGAGACCCTGCTGAGTTTTCTGTGGTCTTTGCACCCAGAAGAGTCTTAAAACATTTTGAAGGTGTCCTGACAGCCCAGAGGAGCTACTATCAGAAGAATAAATCACATTGGTGGCCTACCCTTGGCAGGAAAGGGTGAAGTGAGGTAAAACATGCAAAACGAGGCAAAGGGGTTGGGGGGAGGGGGACTGGGGCAGGCCAGAAATACAGCAGAAAAGGGCAAGAAAGAAATGGTGCTGATGACCATGCTACTAATTAGCTGAGAGCTCCTAATTAGCTGACAGGTCCCCAGTGGTGAGGCCTGTAGCTCTGGACGCCTCCCTCTGCCCCAGGTGCAGGCCGTCCTCTGCAGGCCGTGCAGGGAGGGAGGGATGAGACAGGGACACGTACAGCTCTGGGTTTAATTGGGGATGCCTTGATCATTGCAGGTATTTTAAAAATTAACTTGATATAAAACTTCAATATTACATGTAAGAAATGTACTAACTACAGTAGGTACAGTTATAGCATAAAGGGATTATTTCACACACACACACACACACACAGAAACAATTGCCTAACTCTGCCTCTACTAATTGTCTTAAAATTCCTCCATTGGGAAGTTTTAACTTCTCCCTCTGAAGATTTTCTTACCCAAAGATGAAATTTTTCAGTCAGTTGTTTCTGAGGAACATTAACATTTTGCGGCCTCAAGGTGAGACAAGGCTTGTTATACCTACGGTTACATATAACATGCAGGAAATGCTCCTCTGAGGGTTTTGTTTCATTATTATTATTTATGTTCTGTTGTTTCGAAGAAAAAAGTGTGGTAAAAACTAACTGGAGATATTAATCATGAATTATTAACAGTGAAACAATGCCTTTCACAGTTACAGGTCATCACAACTGAATGCCAAGGATGTTGTATATGTAGACAAAGATTGACAAAAATGTGATTTTTAATATGGAATAGAAGTTGCAAGTTTTTGATCTTATATTTTTGTGGAGTTATTTTAAATTGTTGCTGTCATTTTTAAGCCATGAATTGCTGAACTGCATTAATGTAAGCATCAGTGTTTGGGAATAAAGAGGGAAATTTGACAGGACAAGAGGAAATGGCCACAAACTTGAACATAAGAAGTTCCATCTAAACACCCTTCACTTAGAGGGTGGCAGAGCACTGGAACAGGCTGCTCAGAGCAGTTGTGGAGTCTCCGTCTCTGGAGACGTTCAAAACCTGCCTGGACATGTTCTTGTGTAACCTGCTCTAGGAGGACCAGCTTTGACAGGGGGTTGGACTGGATGATCTCCAGAGGTCGCTTCCAGCCCCACATCATTCTGTGGTTCTGTGACTGTTTCCAGTGGGCCTAAGTAGTGGAAACAGCTGAATGGAATAAAGTAGCTCCTGTAAACAGACAAAATCCAAATAGTGTAGGCTGCATTTGTAGGTATTACCATATTACCAATAAATGGCTTTGGCTAAAAGTAATTATTTCCCCCAGAGGAATAGGTGGGGAGCTGCGGACTGATGGTGAGCCTTGTTTTTACAGATTCTGTAGATACTCACATTCCTGGAACCCTCCTGTCAGCCATGGCCAGCATGGGAGTGCTGTGGAGCAGCACCAAAACTTTAGTCACCAAGGGCGTTAACTGCAGATCTGCTGGCTCTTAAACTCTTTTAAGTTTCCTCACTCTTTGTCTGCCCAGTTGCACAGGCTCACAGCTCCTTTTCAGCAGAAGAGGAGAAAAAAAAGTATGTGGATGATACAACAGAGTGTGTGGAGGCAAAAGATGGACAGAAGCACAAAGCTACCTTTTCTAGTAGCTACTGCATCAGTTAATGTAAGCTGTTACCAAATTTCCTTTCTAACAGAGGGCTATGTTTAACTCTTACAAATTTGCAATTCAGATACTAGCTGCTTAAGTAGTCATATTTTGATTGCACCAAACTCTGGAAATGAAAATTAGAAACATTTACTTTCTGTTTGACTTCTGAAGATATAATAGCAGTACTACTGTTAAAAGATCTCTCATAAAACCTCATGCAGAGATGTTAAAAGAATGATGATTGCAAGATTCTCATTCAAAGCAGTCTCTAATCCTAAGTAGACCAACTTACTTTTCTGATGCTGCTTATGATATGACATGTAAATTAGTTTGAATAAGTTTGCTCTTCATATTGTTTTTTGCATGGGATACTTTATCAGACAGCTTTCAGACTCCTTTCATGCACCTTTTAAACTCAGTGGTTTTATTTGTTTGTCTGCAAAAATCACAGACTAAAAATACAGCTACTTTTTTCAGCATAAATTGGACAAAGCTTTTCAGAGAAGACAGTTTGCCTATTGCCTCCCTGGAACTCCCCTAGATTGTTGAAAGAAAAAATAAGTTTACGGCTCAGTCATAGAAGAAAGATGACAGCTTTTTTGAAAGTGTGATTCACAGCATGTAAGCTAAGATTCCTGCTCTGAATCATGCTCTGTGTCAGTCTTCACTGAGTTCGTCTGTCTTCATCGAGTATAGAGTCAAAGTCTGGCCCTCCTAGTTGAGGCAGCTCTGTGAGGTGTATGAGGCTAATCAACGGGAATACCCCATTTACAGGCCTGTTTTCTGAACAAAATGTCTCTTTCTCAAAGCAGTGTCTCAAGAAGTTCTACAGCTTGGAATGGTTTTCCATATAGCAAATTTGGCAAACTTTCATTTTGCCTAATGAAGTAAAGACAGAAGTGTCAGTTTGACTCAAGCTCATGCTGCGTTCCTCACATTCTGCAATGCTGAAGGCAGCTTAGTTCTAGTGTCTTTTCTGTTCAGACTGAGTGACAAACCACATCTCTTTTAGTAAACTTGCTTTTCTTCCATTGTGCAACATCCTGACAAATTAACAAGAGTGGCAAGAAAACCTGTTCATGTGTCTCACTTTGTCCTGCTTCAGTTATATCTGTGGGCTGTGCCTTGGGGTCTCAGACAGCACCTACGTGAATCTCACTTAAGAGATAAGGCCAGTGAAGGCCATGATGTCTAGAGCTCTTTTTTAAGTAACAACATCACACAGTGATCAATACAATTAGCAATTTAGTGAATCAAAAATAGTAAGACTAACTGCACCACTTTGTTTATAAGGCTTCATTTAGAGAATGACCAGAAGAAGATAATGTTCAAAGTTTTATTTCATTCCTTTCAAGTTTTTCCACAATTTCAGAAGAGGGTCTGCTTTTCATCCTCAGTAATTGCTTTTTATTGTGTTGAGTAATTTTCCTCAAAAACAGTAAAATAAACACATAGCTCTCCATGTCCCCAGGTTTTAAAAGGCTAGATGCCCCGATTCTTCCTGCCTTCAATGTGACACCTCTTTTATTGTGACTAATACACTCTTCAGTGAGGAAAAATAGGTGACCTGCCTACCATATAGCATCTTTATGCTTTTGTGGCTCCTTAAAGATGCTAAGCAGACTTTTGGTATAGCTACAGTGAGGAGGTGCTAGGTGGAAATTAGTGCTTTTGGGGCCTTCTTGTTATCATGAGGTCAGAGCAGTCTTTACATTTTTGAAGGGTGTATGGAATTCAAATGCACAAAATTCCACCACTGTTCTCCAGAAAGGATATGCCCTATGTGCAGAGCCTCAAATATGTCTGTTTACCTGTGACCTACTTAGCTACTTTTCATGTCTCATGTTGAAGATGTGTTGAAGGACAATGTATATCTGAGCTATAAGAAAGCTTTTTCATCCAGAGGCTTTAGCAACTGTAGCTCTGATTCATTCAGTAATCCGTAACAACAGTCTCATTCCATGTTATGTTGTGTAGTTAAATCTCACAGTTTAAGCACAGATTTCTGATATAGGCAGAAACAATCACCTCTTGGTT